AACAGAGAGTCCCTGTGTTATCTTCTATAGAGTTGAGCTTCTCAATGAAACAGCTTCTTTTTGGAGATCTTCAGGGCTTTAGTATTACTTAAATAGCTCAGTATTGAATACATAATAACAAGGTTTATACATGGCACTAAGCTCAGTCAAACATGGAATACAGCTCTGTACAATATATTGTATAGTAGGAGGTCCCAGCCTCCATTTCCCTATAGTTTGGGTTCCTTGACCAAAGATGTTATTAGTTACGTGGCCCAGATTTCCCAGTTCACTAAAAACAAATAGAGACAAAATAAGGTCCATTTTGGAGGTTCTAAAAAGAGCACAATGAAAGAAAAATGTCTGTGGTTGGATGAACCACTTGGCCTGATTCGTGGTAACCCATAAGGGACCTCAAGGTGGAGCCATGTAAACACAGCCCTTCTGGTTCGAACATCAGATTTTCTCAGCCAAATCAAATATCAAAAATCAACTAATCTCGCAGCTAATGGGGATCAGACGATGGAGCGAGTCATAAAGTATTAAACATTTTTGATTTTTTTTAAAAGAGACTTGGATCAGAGTGGATCAGTGAATGACTTTGGTGTTGGGAAAACATGATGTTCTGAGGAGGGATGTTGGAGCAGTGGCTTCAGGTAAACATGCCAAAAAACGTTACGTCATACTCTGGAAAGAATGAGGAGCTCTCTTCCATCTGACTTCACTCCTGGAACAGCAGAAATCCCACGTGACAGCTTCCAGAGGTTTCCATGGAAGCTGCTGATAGGCACGGAGGATGAAGGATGGTTGGTGTCCATGTGTGAGGGTGGTGTGTGGGATGAGACACAAGAAAGCTTTGCAGGTCCAAGGTGTAGATGGTAGGAGGTTGGATACGATGAGGAGAGAGATGGGGAGGGGGGGGAAAAAAAAAAGGAGGGGGGGGGGGGGGGTGGACTTGAGACAAAATGAAATGTTGCAACTGCCGCCTGAGAAAATCAGTAAAACATGCAACACATGGGCTTGTTAATACTGCGATTGCATAATGAATGTTTCCCATCACTTTGACCTCAACTCTGCCAGCAGTTATGAACAGTTTACATGCATGAGTCATTCAGGTAAAGATGTATTTACTCCTTTATTTATGCCTACCTTTCATTAAAACTGATGTAAAGTGGTTAATGCTTCAGCTTTACAGCCAGAGGATCTGAGGGTTGATTCTTGATAGTACCGTGTGGTCTTTAAAGTTGTGCATGGGTTCTCTCTGGTTACTCCTGTTTCCTCCCAAAGTCCGAAAAGCTGCAGGATCAGGTTCATTTGACACTTACTGTCTAATTGACTCCAAGTATGAGTCATTATAAGTACAGTACAGTATTAGTCTCTATGTGGCGCTCTGATGGTCTAGTAAATGATGAGCCCAAGGATTGCTGGGAGGTCAACACGCTACAACAATCTTCAGATTAACCGTTATTAATTGTGATCTCATCCATATATATATATATATATATATATATATATATATATATATATATATATATATATATCAAAGTCTTTATTATGGTTGGTGCATTGGTATTTTTTCTTCTTTGCTGTCCAGGCTCATTGCTTTTGTTTTACTTCTACTTCAGTAGCCCTGAGGAAGATGGAGTTTCCACCATGGATAATTAAAGTCAGATGTTTGTCTTTCACCCCCTTATTGCCTCAGTCCCACCTTCACTGTGTTACCCAGCTCTTGAATTTTACCCTCAGAACCTCAGCAAATTGCCAATCAAAACACTCGCGAAAACTGCCTCTGCTGGGTGAGGGTTCCATTACCCACGAGAACTGGAAAGGAGAGTATGGCTGCCTGCACTTCTTAGAAGTGTGAAAGCGAATTCGTTTACGGTCAGGGCGTGAGTTCATAAACAGAATGTCTTCAGAGAGGCGCGGTGAAAGAATGGTAATGTGTAGCTGTTGTTACTGGACGCTGTTGGGATCATACGGCGGTCTGTAGTGTAAAGGTCACTACATATTTGTCGTGTGGATACTTGCCTTCATGTACCTGACAATATACATTTGTTCTGATTGTGTGAGTGCAGTTATGTGTGTGTGTGTGTGTGTCCATGCTGATTTATGGCCTCAGAGCAGTAAGCTGACCTCTGCAGTGTGTTGTTTGGTTTTTGCGGTCAGGTTGGAGAACGCCCAGACACTGGAGCAGTGAGCAGTGTGCCGGTGTGGGCTGGCACTGGGACCAAGACCTGGCTGAGAGCTCATGGGTGACTGTGTAAATATGCTGTGAAAGTAGTTCGTCTCATAATACCCCCCCCACCCCCCACACCCCCCAGTGTCCTTTCCTGGCCTAGAGTGGGGCCCTTCCCTCCATTTTTCTGTGCTGACATACAGATGGCGAACCTTTTCTTGTGTCTGCCACTTCTTTTTAGTGTTGAGGTGTCAACTGTCTCTGGGGATATGGAGGAATAAATGTTGAGTCTGAGCCAATAAATCTCCAAGTTTGTCATTAACTCAAAAGCGTAACACATTTTTCTTTGTTTCTTTGTTTTATTTTTTCAGCGTGAACCTTTTTTTAAGAAGTGAGGGTTATTGTAGATTAGGTCAGAAGGCTGTTAAGCGAGTATTAAGACCAGTCAAAATGTTGTGATTTCTCTAAAGAACTACATACAGTAGTGCTCTCAGTCCTCTGCATCATATCTTTTCAATCAGTATGCTGAACTCAGTCCACCCTCTGTGGATGAGATGCAGATGGGGGACGTGGGAGGATGGAGATATTGTTGCAGTCGCAGTCACCGGAGCACTCTCCTGCCCCCATTTGGACACAACCAGAACATCCACCGGGGACAACTGTACAGTATGTGGCCCGGACGAGGTTGAGCTACAAGAAGGAAATCTGTGAAAATGATGCAGCGTGGATAAAATAGATCCATACATTGTCATGAGCTGGACAAAAACTAAATCCTTTCTGCTTTTGTAAACTGATTTTAAGAAGCAACACCGATCACTCTTTTTCTTTGTGTCGACTGTAGTTTCCTGAAAGTGACTTTTGTGAAGTGAGGTCTTAGCTCACAGCTACAGGCAAGAGTGTTGCAGGGAGATTTCTACATGAGGAAAGCATTGGCGGAGAGCCTCGTCGTATTTCAGGAGAGTCCAGGGAGATGCTGACAGCAGCAAGCCTGCTATTGTCTGAAAATCCTGCCTTAAGCACCACTCTGATGTGTCGCACCGGAGTGAAAAATGTCACTGTCCCTTTTCAAATGAAGAGCTGGTGATTGCTCGTCTTTTATGATCCTCCTAAGGCTTTGGATGTGGCCCTGCAATATCTGGACCTTTTTTTTTTCACATTTGGTCTGTTTGCCTGTGGGATCGTCGCTGCTTATTTTTCTCTTTGTGGTGCTGTGTATTGATTACATGGTGTATTTCTGTGCGCTCCTCATTGTACATCAACTTTGTCTATGTCTATTTTGTGGTGGAGTGTAATGTATAGTTTCTTGTTAGGTGTTGTTTCAGTTTAAGTGTTGGGTTTTACCAATCGTCCTTATCATGCGGCGACCTTTCGACAACGCCTTCCTGCTAGCTGTGGCGTGTGTTGTTTTTTGTTTTGTTTTTTTACCCACAAAAACAACTCCTGTGTTGCTTTTTTTTTAACCGTAGCGAACTGCTGGAAGAAAATAATAACCCGCTGCTGGAATACTATCTGCGAAATAAGCAATTTGGCGTGTAGCAAAGAGCTGCCATACAGTAGAGGAATACTTACTGTTCCCCTACATCTGTAAAACAGCAGCTTATATAACATTTGGCGCAACAGTTTGTCTGGTGACGTGTGGTGCAAACCACTTCTGGCTTCAGAGAAAGGAAATCACAATCAGATTTTTGTGGTGGTCACAGCGGATCAGGACTTTGACAGAAGCTTCACTTTACTGTTCTGGGGTTCTCATGAGAACCTATGAGAACTGTGTGACTGTACACGGTTTGTTACCGTGGAGGGTTTGATTATATTTGGTGTCAAGTTCCTTCTTTTAAGTCAGCGGATGTGATGCTCGACAGATGTTAGAGTTCACTTTACGCACAAGGTCTCACAATCAGATGCTATTCCGAGCAAGAGATTTTATACACACAAACATAAAAAGAAACAAACAACAAAAGATATGTCAGCCTGTTCCTTGGCAACAAAGATAACTGATGTTGAACAGATTATTTAAAACACACACACTAACCACTGCCTTTGTCCAAATAACACTGCCATCATAGGAACATTTGTTTATATATTTTACAGCATTGGTTCCTAAAGACTGGGTCGCGACCCTCAGGTGGGTCGCATGAGATTTTTTTATTTTGGGTCGTCTCACATTATGTTTCCCAGGAAGGTTTGTGACTTGTAAAATATGGGTCTGCAGAAAGCTTGGGAAACACTGTTTTACAGGTGATTGCACAGTGATTGATGATTTAAAATCACTTGAATGCGTTAATGAAAGGTTGAAACTTGGTGCTTTGAATCACTGTAAATCCCAAGGACCACGAAGGGACCTCTGGCTGGACTTTGGTAGGATGGAGCTGATTTAGTCACATCTGTTGTGATTTTAACTCCCACACCTTCCAATCAGCTCCTTCACTGCTGTAGGAGATAAGGAAAAAGAGTGAAAAGGAAAGAAAACAGAGCATGAGTATAGGAAATAGTTACAGAGCCTTGGACACTGGTACTGTTAACTGTCAAGAGAAGGTTCTTTTTTTTTCTGTGAACACATTAAAATCCTCCTCTTCGAGTGCAGCTGTGACACAGTCCTGCCAGGATGA